AAAAAAAAAAAAAAAAAAAAAAAAAAAAAAAAAAAAAAAAAAAAAAAAAAAAAAAAAAAAAAAAAAAAAAAAAAAAACTCAGACAACAGCATAAGCCCTAATTAAGAAAACCAGTCGGGATCTAAGAACCGACGAGAGTGAAAATATGGTTATTGCGAAACATAAAACACCATTAAATTAGAGGTAAACAGAGAATTGCAATGAACAGAGAAGGGAAACGAGTGTACCTCACCGGATCTTCTCAGAAAAAAAGAAAAATGGAATTTCTGTGTGAAAGAGAGAGGGTTTGGGTTTTAGAGAGAGAGATCCTGAAATTTATTTTGGATGGAAGCTTTCGAAACTCAAAAGAGTTGGAAATAATAATTTTATTGTTTTATTTATTTATTTAAAAGAACAAATTAAATTAAATTAAATTAAAAAAATATCCATCCTTTTTTTATGCTACTTTCTTTCTAACCTTTCAGTGATCGATGCGGCTAAAGCTTACTCTAAATTCTGAACGCTTTAATAAAAAATTTTTTTTTTTTTTTGTTTAATTAAAATTTATTCTTCAATATATCATTTATTTTAATTGTATTATTTAACTTAATTTCTTGTTCAGTTAAAATTATGCCGTAAATCTACAACTACCTCTTCATTTTATCCACAAAATCCACAAAATTTTCTAAAAATGTGTCTATTTTGTATCTAATTTTTTTTATTTAATAATATATGGAGTGAGAGTTTTAACATTTGACCTATTAATCGAGCGCACGAGTCTTAAAAGTTGAACAATGCTTTTAGTTAACTCGAGAGTGGCTATGGACTGTATTAGATGAGGAAGGGGTGAAGGGGAAAAAACAAGAGAGAGGGACTGTTTTTCATTTATTCTAATATATTTTTAATTTTAAAATGTCGCATCCGCCCTCACTAACAATTGAATGGATTTTGTCAGTTCATACAACAAAATGAGCATTTTCTAAATGTTAGGGACTCGAGCGTTCAATTTTGAAACTTTGAGACTAATTTAACACAAACCCCCAATATTAGGGACTAAACGTGTAAGTTATCTTAAATTTTTGTATATCAACTAACACGTCAATTTACAAAAATGAAATTATGAACAGTGTAAACATGTACATTTCAATTTTTACACATCAATTACGGTGTAATTCTCACAATTATCTTAACAGCAAAAAAAAATACAAAAAGAAAAAACACTTTAGAACAAATTCAGCAAAATTTAGAGATATAATTGATGTGGATATCATATAACTTGAAATAGTATAGTTGGGACACCTTATGTCAAATCAAATAATGATTTTGTGTAAGTTGGAAATTTGCATTTGGTACTTTGCCTCAGTCCTTCATACTATAAATATAAATTATTTTGTAATGGTGACATTGGGTACTTGCACCACACTTTTCCTACAAACTTTATAATTTAATTAAGTTTATACCATAATTAATCAATCAATTTCCACCGACATGACCATTAAAAGGGAAGCATGACCTTAGAAAACTCAACAAAATCATATAAATTTGAGCACAAACACTGCACCACAAGCTCAAAAATTGACACATAATCTTATAATTCATGGTTTCAAGGTGCAAGCTTTTTACCTTAAAGTAAGCAAAGAGTTATTTCGACGTTTTAATCTGTACGTTGAAAGCTTCTATGGTCGAACTGATTGGAGACGGGAGATTCGAGCTTATAAGAGTAAGAGAGATGGGTTTGGGGGAGAGATAATGGCAACAAAAATGAGTTTATAATTAAAAGAAGAAAGAAAGAGAGGGCTACAACAGATCAGCCTAAAAATAATGTAAGTTCTGAGCAGCCCCCCACCCCCACCCCCACCCACCCAGCGTCACCTTGTCTACTCTGTTATTTTTTTTTTGTTTTCCCTTGTCTGCCATGTACCGAGAGAATGAGATGTTCAGATTTTTAAAATAAATAAATAAAAATGTCCCTCCTTAGCCTCTGCCTGCCTGCTTGCCTGCTTCCCCATTTTGTTTATACTTGATTCTTCTCTGCTCTTCTTTTACCACCACCACCATCATCATCATTCCCTGCATCCTCCTCCTCCAACTCTACCTATTATTCCACAACCAAGCAAACTGTTGTTTGTAATATCAGTTTAATGATCATCATTATATTACATCGTTCAACAAAATATAATACGATATTTTCCACTTTGAGCATAAGTATAACCTCTCGTGGTTTTGAAAGGCCTCGCACTAACGATGTATTCATGATCAACCCCTTAATTAGTTAAGATAGACCTCGACAATATGCTCAATCAATTTGATAATTGCACGTGGGTCCGAGGAAAGCAAGTTGGCAGAGGGGGAGGACAGACCCTTTTACTAAAACTACCCTTTCACGTGGAGGAGGAGGAGGAGGAGTCTGATCTGTTTTCTTTTTCTTTATCTTTTCTTGTTAATAACGTTTGACCATTGACCAAAATCCGTGTTCTTCTGGACATCATGCAAAAGGCAAAACAATGGGCGAAGGACAGCAGCAGTAATTCTATACATCTCTATCATCCCAACAAAACGCAATAACTCAACACAGAAATTGAAGAGAAAACGGACCTGGGTTGGGGCCAACGGATGCGGGTTTCGACATAATGGAAGTGGGTGGAACCCCCGCAAATGGCCCAGCCGCCGTCGGACTTGGCGGGAATATGTGTGCCGGCATCCCCATCGCCTGTGATTGATGGTAATGATACACCGGGTACATCGGCATCAATGTGTTCGCACCCACCATGGCCTGCCCCGGATATATCTGCGCGTAAGGCCCGCCGTTCATATACCCCACCTTCTGCTGTTCATCACATAAAAAAAAAAATAATCATAATCTAATGTCTAATGAATTTCAAAATATTTAAGAAATAATTGATTTATTAATTTAAATAAATAAAGGAATAACTGACATGGTTGTAACTGATATCGGTGGCGATGTAGGTGGGGCTTGGGGAGTATCTGTAAGAAAACGAAATTTACGTTGATTTACAAGAAAATACCAAAAATAATACTAAAGAATCCCTGGGCAATAATAGAGTACGGAAGAGTGTATAGGATCTTGTGGTATACCCATAGAAAGGGACGGCCTGATGAGGCTGATGATGAAACGCCGTCGGATGAGTCCCCGCCGGGTAGTACCACTGCACGTGGTTTCCCGCTGCCGCTGACGTCGTCCTCGGCGCACCACCGTTTGATCCTTCAAGGAATCACAAACCATATTCAGATCTTCCCCAACTTAATTACGAAAATGCCATTCACAAATACTGAACTGACCAGTTTCTTCTTCGAGAGAGAAGAGGAGAAGAGTGTGTTAACCTGGTTGAGGACCTTGCGGAGGAGTAGCCGAAGCAGACCTAGAGGATCGCCGAGCGCCAAGGGAAGCCAGATTACAGTTGGCTCGACGGCCATTGATGATCGGAGCCGAATCCTCACAAGCCTTCTTCGCCGATTCTGCTTCCTTGAACGTGACCTAAAATCGAAAACATCAAGAACATCAAGAACATCAAGAACAAACTCGAGAATCATCAATGAAGCCAAAAATCAACAAAAAAACAAAAAGAAATCCGTAATTCCTTGAGACTTACGAATCCGTAGCCCTTGGATCTGCCGGTGAGTTTATCGGTGATGATAACCGCCTCGAGAATGTCACCGAACTTCTCGAAGTGATCTCTCATGGCTTCCTTGGGAGTCTCCCAAGCCAAGCCCCCAACGAACACCTTGGTCAAAGTGGTATCCCCAAACATGGCTGAAGAATGGGCGGTGATTAAGCGAAGGAGGGAGAAAATGGTGGTGGGGAAGAGAAGAAGAAGGTTATATAAGAAGGGAGAAGGGAGAAGAATAACAGAGTGGTATGGAAATAAAGAAATGGAAGAAGACAGAGAGACAGAGAGGCTGACAGATAGGCAATTGCCCAACCCTGGCTATGCCTATCTATCTATCTCATCAACGTCAACACACACACACACAACCATTTCTTTTTATTTATTTATTTTTTAATTTCGATTAAATTAATTTTAATTCTTTAACTAAATCGGACAATCAATGCGGTAATTACCTACAGATTACAATTAGTAAATACTAATAATCTCAGCCTATCAAAACCATATATTACCTAATTAAATTTCATATATTGGGTTTTCCTTATACATACTCCTAATTAACTAATCCTATAATTACCGCTTTTACTTAATTAACTAATCCTCTATCTATATATATATAGTTTGAATTTTTAATATATCGAGGTGGTTTGAATAAACCAAGGCAGGTAATGTTGATCATAATGTTTGAAATTTGCAGTACGTTGTTTATCCATAAGGAAAAAAAATATATTGTGATGTCCGAGTAAAGTAGATGTCCAATCAATACAACATCTGAACGAGAGTGATCATGAATGTATGAGTCGACCCTTCATGTTTTGTGACATGATCATAAAAAGTCTAAAATTAAGCATGTTTTGGTGTAAAGTTATATATATTAGGTAATCTGTTTAAATTTTTATTACCATACATACGAGTGAGCACAAAACATCTTAAAATGACATGCATTGGTTTATGACAATAGTTTAATTCAAGTAGATTATTAATTTTTAAAAATAGTTCAAGTTAATTAGGTGACGTAGTCATAGCAGGATGTTGGATCATAATGGCTTGTAAATGAGACACCGCGCGGTGTGTCAGTGAACTGGTTAGTTTGAGAGAAGAACGAAACATTTTTATAAGAGTGTGTAACCCAGAGGAGGGGTGTGCATTCATAATTAATTAATTATAACGAATAATATAATCACGAAGAAGTATAGAATTTTGTTTGAAAAATAAGTATATATATACAAATTATTTAAGCTAAGCCAGACGAGTAACAATGTGCTAGCATGACCGTTTCTGATGGACGTTATGAGCTGTTGCAAAGGGAATCATAATCCCACGCGCTTAATCATTAAACTTGTATCCACTCGCAATTGAATTGGCTGTCCTAGTCCCATAAAAGTTCAGCCTTTTAACAACTTGGCGCGTGTTTAATAACCACCATCTCCACGAGTCTTTATCAATATTCAATATTAACGATTAAATTGCTAATGTGTTCCTAAATTTTTATTTATAGTGGATCTGTATATATATATATAATTATTTATTTTGTGTCTAGTGAAACTTAATCTTATAATTTTTATAATTTAAATATTTTTCATTTGAATAGTTGTTTAAAAAGCTGTATTTATGTGTTTTTTTTTAATGAATTATAGAATAAAACCATATTATTAAAAATTGAATGTTATGGAAATTAATATTTGTTGGGTTAAAATTAGGAAATTTTGATTTTAGGATGAAAAAAGTTGGGGTTTTAACAACTTTGTTCAAAAAAATGCCTATAAACTCCAACCTTTATTATTATTTATAATTTTGATAAATATTTTCAATAATAAATTAATTTATAAAAAAATATGAAATTATACACTAAAATACAGTCAACGTGACAACATAAAAGTTATGTAACCGCTCTTGAATTCCACTTTTTAAAAACATTCATTTGTAGGCTTAAATTTGTATAAAAACAAAATTTACGAGCTGGAGGCTAAACACATTTATTTTTTTTAATCTATTTAGTTTAAATAGAATTAAAATTACATATTAAAATCAACATAATTCGACGATAATTATAAAAAGTTTATATATATATATATATATAATACAAAAACAATTTATAATATTGTATATTGTTTATTATTATTATTATTTTAGAATTTAATTTTTATTTCTATTCTTCGAAATTAAATTGATAAGTGATAAATTAATGTAGAAAGAATTTGAGTTACGAGTTAAATCTGTATAGTTTGAAGTTCGAAAACTAACCTTATATTTAATATGAAAGTTTACTTTAAATTTTGAGTTATTTTTTGAACCGGAACAAATTCATAAATTTAATATAAAATAAAAAAATTTATATATAATTGGGCGAATAGATTTTAAGGAATAAACTTATAAAATGATAAAATAAATAAAAAGATAAAAAGAAATAAAGAAGTAAATAAAAGGAAGAGAGAGTGAGAGAAGCAAAATGGACACTCCCTACAAAGATACGGGCAGCCTCGCGTGGATGTCTTGTACTCATTCATTCGTTCCTTCAATTATAACAATGCACGTGACAAATGCCACGTGACATACACAGTCAGCTTTCTCTCTCTCTAGAACTAGGAGGGAGCATAGGACAACGTGGCCAGCTGTAAGAGAGCAGGATGGGTATTTTCGTAAATTCATCCTTTCTTTTCTTTTTCTTTTTATTTGTTTAAGGTACTTTTTGATTTTTGACCATTAAAAAAAAAGGAAAAGAAAAAACGAGCCTATGCGATCCCATGCATCAGACCCCAGCCATTGCCAGTGCACTACACGTTCTCTATTTCTGTTATTTGTAGTTTTTTTTAATTATTATTTTCTTTATAAATTTAATTCTTTTTTTCCAAATTTTCTATTTTATTTCGTGAAGGGATTAATGTCAAAATAATGGCTTAATAATTAGCCAAAATAGACATTTTAAAAAATCGAGGATCTCTCTCTCTCTCTGCTAACTACCAAACAGCAACCTTCTACTTTAAATGCTTTATTTGAATGATTTTAAGATTGGTTGTCTTTTGCCAAGAATATCATAACAAAATACAACTTCAATTTTTTTTTTCATCAATTTTTAATTATAATTAATAACACTTTTTCTACATAGTTTCTTTAATTTTTTTTAAATCAACATATTTACACATGAAAGTATTTAAAATATATATTATACCTATTGAGTCCTACATAAAAGATTAACGACTAAAAGTGAGAATGATAGAAACCAAAACAGAGATAATCTCAAATGAGAAAACTTACTAACATAAATGCAACCAAATCTAAAACTTGAGGATAAAAAAAAGGAATAATTTATTTATTTATTTTCATTAGTAAAAATATTAAAAACGACAAGTGTATGTCATAGATTAGAAATGTTAGAAGCTTTAGGTACTTTGATTCATAATAATCTATTAGTGATGGCTACACAATAAATCATTGCTTTGCATTTAGTTAAGCAAAGTGCGAATCTATAAGTTGATACTACATTTTATGGACAATATGGACAATATGATTTGTACATGCAAGTGAGGCTGTAGCTATGAAAAAATCGAGCCTATGCTTTAATCTTACCATAGAATAAATTTAAAACGATGAAATTTATCACATAACCAATAATAGACTTGATGGCAATATAGAGCTAGTAGGAGCAAAGCTCACACACACCGACTAATAAAAGATGGGACAAAATCACCTTATTCTCCGAGTTGATTCTAAAAATTAAAAATAAATAAATAAATAATAATCAAACATTTACTCCAATAGCTTTTTCTCAAACCTGGCTTGCCAAATTAACTTTACTAAAGAATAAAAACGATGATAAAATTTGTTGATATTTAGGAAAAAGAAATAAAATATTGTAAAAGCTCGAATCCACTTTAAGACTATTCTTACTATTCTTAAAACTACAATAGCTTTCAACTTATGAAATCACCTTTTCAAAAGAAAATTTTTGGTAATTTGATGGTTGAAACACGAGATGAATGATCATTTTCTAAATTGATGAAGATGCAATTTCATCTAATCACCTATCAGTGCAAATGCAATTTATGTTCTATCGATCCTATTTTGAAAAATATTATTTCACCAAATAGATGTTATACCACCAAAATTACCATACTCTACTAAATACTTCAAAAAAAATATATATATATATATTGCCCTATTAAGTTCTAAAAAGTACCATATAAATACAAAAAAAAATCCTTAATTATAGGCTTAGTTGGGCATTGATGATAAACCATAGATGATAATAAAAAGAATAGGCAAGAAAAGTAATAATTGTGAGAGAGAAGCAAAAAAGAAAAAAAAGAAAAAGTTAGAAGAAATCAAATCAAAGAGGGATAAAATGTTAATTTGGGGAGAGGAAGAAGAAAGGATTACTTGAAACACAGCTGTGGGATTCATGAGTCCGTACCAAACACCCAACCAAGTGGGGGGTCTGTGGAAAGCATTGCCCCAATTGGCTTGACCTAAGTGGACTGACAGATTGGAGATCTTCACTGGTTTTAATGAAATGGAAACACATTTAAAGAGAAAAAAAAGAGAGAGAGAAAGAGAGAAGGGTACCACTATAATGTTTCTCTGACCGTGATCTCATATCACGTGCTAGTCATGTGACTTCTAGCCTGGTGATTTATGTCCACCACGTGCTCCTGCTTCTTCTTGCACAGTACTACAGATAATAATAACCATGCTTCCACTTCCAGATAAGTTAAAACATCATGCATCTTCATTTATCAAATGCCTCAATTTTCTTAATGATTCTCACTAACTGAAGTAAACCCTAATGGTAATGGTGACCTACATATACTATTTCAAATCCAATATATAAGCTACTATTTTATTTTGAATTGACAGTCTCTTCGGCCAAAATCTCTTATTCAGAACCTGAACAAAGCATGCTAGTTCATATATATATATATATTGGTTGCCTTGAGAATCAAATCACAGATCTTTTAGTCAAGAGGAAGTGAAGCATAATATGATCTTACCAAAGTTCTTTTAAGGATGGAGAATCGCTGAGCTGCTTTGATTGGTTTGCTTTCCTTCCCTCAATATTTGTTGGGTTCGGATTGGGGGTCCCGAGCAAGATGCTTGCTAAGAAGATTGCAGTGTCCACCAACAGCGCCCCATCTGTCCCTCCAAGTCAAAGAAACTTGCAGTTGACCTACAGTCAGATTCCAGTCAAGCATTCGGATCAAATATCAGCCAACAGATTTGATATATATATATATATATATATATAGCGAGAGAGAGAGAGAGAGAGAAGACAGATTCATGTTAAAAGGGAAGGAGAGGATACATGTAGCACTTTCTTAGTCATTTGAGACCAGTGTCATTAAAGCAAAAGCAACAGAAGTTGGAAAGAGAATAATATTTCCAGTTTTCAAATTCCTGAAGCAACTATACTAAATTGAAGGTCCCAAATTGACGAGAGCATCAATAAAATCGAAGCCCACCTTAAAGCCCAAACCAAAATCAAATCCAGAACCAACACAGAAACCACAAAAATATAGATTACAATATCATCTCATATCATAATAAATTAGCCAAATCGATTGTAAAGATTCTATATAGGCGTTGAACGCTTCTACCAGCCTCAGATTTCAGGCAATCCAAGTGGGATGCAGGTGACTCCTATTCATTATTCTGCATTGAAGGAATGATCAAATGCTGTCCCTGCAAAACATAGGATGCCGGAAAATAATAATAGAGTCAGCCAAAACATTTATCAGACAACTAACCTCAATAAAACAATTTCTTTTTGAAAGAAATATATATAGATATAGGTAGATGGATATCAATGCTGTGCATTTGCAATAGAGGAAACAAACAACCATTTGCTCAACTATAATGTACCAATAAGCAAAAAAATCAAACAGCCAAATTAAATTAACATTTGAGTTACCCTCACGTAGACACCTCAGACTGCATTAAGAATTCACCTTAGTAATTAAAACCAGCAAAACACATTTCATAATCCAAAACTACCGGCGTAAAGGAAACTTTATGATCCACAGAGATAGTTGGGAAGGGCTTAAATCTCAATCAAATAAAAGAGAAAATTGACGATCAACTACATGTTACTCAATTTAAAGAACTTGTCGAAAGTTTAAATGAGCATAAAATGCTAAAAATAAAAAACCCACTAAAATTTCATATTTCAACACTTCTTTTCATTCTAGCCCATTTCAATACTGACGATCTACAGATTTCCACCAATTTTAACAAGGGGTTACTGTGCAGACCGCACAATTTTTAGTATTAAAAAAAAAAGGAGATCGTAAGACATTCGTTCATATATGCCGCCATGAAGATTTATACTCATAACCTTTAGGACACCCTGGCTCTTCAAACCACCAAGCTCAAAGTTAGTAAAGGCAGATTATGTCATCATAATTAATAATCACTGCATCAATGAGACATCAACTCAAAAATTGATGTTCATGTGAGTAACAACCTCAGCATGGTAGCTGCTCCCAATAATTTATTCTCCTTGTAGAGGTCCATATTTAAGTCTTGCTCTTTTGATAGTTCTACTAATATATTTGGAATGAATCTAGGGATTAAATCCTTCCAACTTTTGTAACCCATATTCTGTTCTTTTTTTTCTTTTTTTCTCTTCATTTTGCTAAATTGGAAGTCATATTTTATAACAAAATAATTTTTTTTTTAAAAAAAACATTAACGCCAAATTAACCAAAACTAAACATTTAACCACAATCATAAAAACAAAGTTACACAACCGCCATAACTCAAAAATCTTCATCGCCTTATTAAAAGATTTAATATCCTTGCATAAAGAAGAAATTATGATATGACCAACTAAAGGGAAGAACATCTAGCATAGATATTTCATTGCAACTAGAAATCTATGTGATAGGTAAACAGGCATATCTTCCTATACTAGGACAAATAGCGAAAATAGTACAATTCAAATTACTTTCTGTTCTAAAGAGTGCAGTGAATCAACGTAAGAGGTAAACATGCTTCTCACACAAAACCCTATTATGACAAGTAGCAAGAAAACTAATGCAATTCATTTTCTTTTCATCCTAGAAAACTAAGAAAGAAGAACAATGAAAGGCCAATAAAAAGTAGTATTAGGCATTATTTCAAAAAATGACAAGCCAATAACTATCACATTCAAGAAATGTTAGATAGAATACTGTCCCAATTGTGAAGCATTTAGATCAAACAGGCAAGGAACAGCTGTAGAAAATTCAAGGGAAAAAAAGTGTTATATAGATATTTACATCGTTATAAATAGTGGAATTTCAAGCTCACCGTTCCCAAGATCTCAAACAATCTTAAACTAGATGTAGGACATTGTTCCAAATGAAAAGTAGCTTCATACAGATTTCTTTCTTTCTTTCTTTCTTTCTTTCTTTCTTTTTTTTGAGATCATGAAATCTTCTTTTCTGAACAATGATACTGTAGGACAAATTTAAATGTCTAAAAATTCCTCCGAGGAAAAAGAGTGTGTAGAATTTTTTCTTGACTATGAGATGTTTGAAAGGTAGAATAATAAAGTTCTTTTCTTTAATAATATATCTTCTTATAAACATTAAAAGTATATCATTTCAATATCATCTACCAATGGTTGGCTTGGTGACATTGAGCATGTGGAAAAAACAAAATAGACTTTGGGGAATGGATTCAATCTCCATATGTTGGTCACCTACCACCTAGGATGAAACCCTACTAGACAAGCTAACTTCATATGACAAGCAAATGTTATAATAATAATAATTAAAAAAAAAAACAAAAACAGGTAGGATACATGTATATATAAGGGAAAAAGAATAATGGGTCCATCTTCTAAGCAACATTCAAAATTAAAGACAATGCCGGTAATAACAAGTGAATAACAGCTACAAATTTCAATCCAATTATTAGCAATGAAAAAGAGGGCGTTCCTGAACAGCATGTTGACAAGTTGAGAGAAGAGAGATTATTACTTGGGTGTTAATGTAAGTCAACGCTCCCGACTGCATGTATTGCTGCACATATAGTTGAACCAAAATCAAGGTATGATTACATATAAAGGGGCAAAAAAAAAAATCAATTCATGTGTCCATGATGATAAAAAGAATTTCTGTAAACAAAGATTCTACGAAAAGTAACTAAACCTGGGAATTTTGACCAGGCATGGCCCCAACTGCATCTCTTTTAGCAGATTCGTCACCACCCCTAGAAGATCCTTTAGCATCACACTGGAAAAGTTTGCATTCAACCAGAAAAGCTTAGCCATACTTTTCTCTCAAAGAAAGCTCAGATTAGGGGGATACAATAAACACTAGAATACTAGGTTTAAGAGCTCGTTTCAATTACCTCCAACTGAAGCAACACCATTGCCCCCACCAAAAAAAGTGAAGGAAAAGAAAAGGAAAAAAGAAAACAAATGTAAGCACATCATAGTGATGAGATCAAACAAATTATATACCCGCACAAAAAACGTAACAGACCAAATTCATTCAAAACGTCAGGATACAAGCATTTACTGATCAACGGCGAAAAGTTTTAAGCACTCGTCCACCAGTTGAAGCACTCTCAAATCTCAATTACTAAAAGTAATCGAAAGTGCGAGAAGCGCTCTAATTGCTATAGTCATGGACATCCACAATAATCCGCACAAGTGATGTCCGTGTACAATTAAGTCTAAATGTGAGGTGCAAGAAAACATAAAACAAAAAAAGAAGCTAAAAATTAGAAACAATTTTACCTCTCTGTACCTAGTAAGGTACGACTTAAGCGGATCAATATACTCCTCAAATCCCAACGTCGCCATTGCCCAAAGCAAATCATCGCCATTAATAGTCTTCCTCTTTTCCTTCTGGCACTTGTCACTCGCCCTACACAAAAAAAAAAAAAAAAAAAAAAAAAAAAAAAAAAAAAAAAAAAAAAA